TATTTCATGTTATCATGTGCAATGCACGACTTTTGAGAGGTAAAGTATATTTCCATCTTAGTTTTGGAAGAGAATCTCGCATCACAATGACACGACCTAAAATATTGATATCATAAAAGCTAACAATCAATAATACTATTAAAAAATAAAAACTGTCAAATTTCAATGAATATATTAATAGAATTAATAAGATATTCTATGAGAAAAATACATTTAAGTAAAAAGGAAAAGGAGTCCTCAATAACAAAGAGATCAAATTACAAACATTAAATATTCATTATGTATCTTTAAATTGTCAATTTTATGGAAAAAATTTGTGGATCAATAAAAGAATATGTGAAATTATGACCTTAGATTTCGGTTAATCATTTTCTTTCATGAGCTAATAACATCATTTCCTCTTATAATTCTATTAAATATTTTTTTATTAATTAATCAGTTTTTACATTAATTAACCCTATAATTGTACATAAAGAGTAAGCATATTTGTCATTTTACCTTTTTGTTAGTGAGGCCTTTTCCTTTTTATTTAATTATTTTATTCTTTTTCTTGAAATATTTATTTATTTATATCGAAGTTGCCATTTTAACAATTTTTTGGTGTTTAATATTATTAGCTTAACTTTTTTACACTCTAGTTAATGCGTTTATATGCATAACTTTACCACACATGTGCATTTAAGAAGACTTCATCCAAAGCAAAATGCATCAATTAATTTTTCTTTTAAGTGATCCGAAAACACCTTGATTAAATATTAACATTTAGAGAATTCTATTATAACTACAGCTATCCAAAATACAGATGCATTTATGATAATACCAACACGAGTAAAAAAAAAATTTGCCCCCAACATAAGATTAGTGAAGTTTGGTCTTTGTTGATTGCATTCGTGTTTCAAATCAAGTCGCCTCGCTAAACATTATTGGTAATTAGTTCCAATTTGAGGTTTACTATAAATCCAAAATTGACCAATGCATCCTTTTTAACTAAAAATAATAATATTTTTATTAATATTTATTTTTTGATTATTGGTATTTTATTTAATTTATTTTTCTCCCTCTTTCTACATTTTTTTTCATTTTTACAGCAATTGAGGGTAAAACAGAGATTTCCTTAAAAAATGATACGAACCCCTTAAAAGTCACGTGCATCACACATGATAACGGGAAGAATAACAGAGAATTAACGGTCATAACAAAATGAGAGTCTATGGAGTATGGTGTAATAGTTGAAACTTTGGGAGCAAGCGTGTATTATCTCCAAATTTCAAGGGGTTTCATCTGATTTTTCTAGGGGTGCGAGGTTCCAAGGTGACTAGGGTATTTTTCGCTATCCTTGAACCCGCCATATAGATACCGATTCCAAATTCTTGGAACTTAGAAACTGTCGGTTCCGCATGCTCTAGGGTATCATGTACTACTTTGTATTTTTTTCAATTGATTCGATAAAAAAAAATTGTGGTTCTTTTGAGCATTCAACATAAAATATATGGATTAAATGATACAAAGAACCTAAAATAATGATAAGATCGAGAGTAACAAAAACGAAGAAACATTTCAATTTCCACCCATCATTGAAAAAGAATGGCTTACATGAAAGTCTACCAAACTCAACTGAAAGCATGAACTAAAATGTATTCTTGAGATGGACGGTGAAATCGAGTTGCACATTCGTTTTTCTAATGGGATTGAAGATTGTTGGTCAACTAGTTATACTTTTCACACATTCAAATGCGACAATTTCATAAAGAAAAAAGAGAAAGTATTAAATATCTAAGCACGCACATATGTTTAATTAAGAAACATTACACATGGTAGATTAAATTATCTAAAAAGTCATAAACCTATTGCACTTTTGCCAATTCAGTTGTGAAACTTTTAATTTCGCCAATTAAGTCATTAACAATTTCACGTTTTGCCAATTGAGTCCATCTAGCTAATTTTACCAGGAAATTATTTATGTGGACGTTGGCTGTCGTACATGGCACGACCGGTGCTGACGTAGACAATTTTTTATAATATATTTCGAACATTTATTAATTTTTTTTTCAATTTTTTCTTTTTTTCTTTTCTTATTTTTTTACACATATGGCCAGCCGACCATCGTCGGCCACGGTTCTGGTTTGGACGAGGCCGACACCCTTACCTAGACCAAGCCTCTGGCTAGTGATGGTCGACCAACAACCTCGCCAGCCATAAGTATAAAAAAAAGAAAAGGAAAAAGGAAAAATCAAATCAAATCAAAAATCAAAAAAATAAGAAAATATTATTCAAAAAATTTTCTACGTCAGTGCCAATCGCGCCATGTAAAACAGCTAGTGTCAACATCAGCAATTTCCAAGCATAATTGGCCGAATGGACTCGATTGGCAAAAAATTTAAGACCGAATTGGTAAAAGTGCAATATGTTTAGGACTTCTTGGATAATTTTCCCCACATAATATGTACAATGTGGTTTAGGAGTGAGCAAGATGGACCGACCGAACCGGGAACTGCCTGGACCAGACCGAACCGGCCGATTGGATCTAGTTCCTAAGAGTGTTGGTTCGGTTCCAGGCTCCTAAAAATGGAACTAGTGTCCGGGCGGTCCAGTTCCCGGTTCCAAGGGCGAACCGGACCAGACCGACTATATATATATAATTTTTTTTAATTTCTTCAAAAAATTAAGTTTTGCAATGTAAAACCCAAAGTGAACATCAGTCCTCCTCCCCCGAAACTTTCCAAAAGTTACGTCGTCTTCACTAGTAACACAAACAAATTTAACTCGTCCGGGAGCTATACTCCACTAGAACAATTACTACAAAATTACAAAACTTCTGGACTAATTTCAAAGGAAGAAAAAGGTACATACCTAGCCACTATAAGTAATAAGAAATTTAACGTGAACACAGATTGCAACCTCTATCGTAAATTATATACAATAATCGACCGGTTCCACTGAACCGGACCGAGATCCGATCACCCCCAAGTGTACGGTTCGAATCGAAACACCGGGACCCACCACGAATCCCGGGTTCGACATTTGGGAATCCGAAACTTACCCCTAATTCCCTCTCATCCAAAAAGACGAAAATCGCTCTGCTCAAGTGCTCATGATGCTCATCCTCACGCAAAACTCGGTGCAAAAGCCCCCTGCTGTTACGAGCAGTACCGACCGGTGACGCAACGGTCAACGATTTCTTGCAGGCCCATGCGGGGACCGCACTGGCCTCCCCCGCCGACATCAGCAGGCTCTTTGATCGGCCGCGTCCCAACCCTGCATTTTGGAACCGCCCGCCGGACAGACACTCCCGGCCGTCCGATCCTCCCCCGCGTTGGGGGATGGTCCCTCCTATAACGACGGCGGCGGCGGTGGTGAGATCACCGTCGATCGTATCGTTCAGGGGGGGACAGAGGATGCTGGCGACCCAACGGCGTACGACATCGGTCAAAGGGTCAAAAGAAGGAGCATCACAAAACGGTCAAGAAACCATAAAGCGTGACTTTATCTAAAATATAATATATATATATATATATATATATATATATATATATATATATATATATAAATACATACATACATATATTGTGAGCATGAAAAGAGGACTTGACTGGATATTTGCATGGCGTGGCCAAAAAATTAAATTTCGTGAATTTGATGAAAACCCTTGAATTGATAATTTCCGACGAGCTAAATCGAAAGCACCTAATAATATCTCGAGACCAAGGAACGATGGAAAGATAGAGACGTCTTGAATTACATCGAAGATCAATAATCGGTACATGTTCGAACGGTCGGTTTGTTGAAAATTTCACCACGCCTTCATCGATTCTTTAAGCAAGATAACCATTAGCTTTGTGGGATTCGTTCATTCTGACACATCGCGTCAATTTGTAGACGATCGTGTGGAGAGACTTCCCGACTTCTCGCGCGTCGACAGGCCTGTAGCGACAGCTCGTGCACCTCCGGGTGGACCGAGTGCTCGGATCGGTTTGCAGCCCTTGTCGTAACACCCAAAGGGTTTAGCTGTACCGGTCATCCATTTCTGATCCCTTTACTAATTAAAAAGGAGTGTTTAATAAATTTTTTTGGTGATTAGGGTCATGAGGAATTTATGTGAGTCCTATACTTCCAATGTGATAACCTAATCCATCTACATCTACTTAATAGTAACAGCTGTGGTAATAAATTCAATTGGGCAATGCATTTCGTGCATGTCATTTGTGTAGTAGACGTTTTGGATGCCACCAACTATAGATTTGATCACCCTTTTCATTAGTTTCCTCCAATAACCTTAGCCCTTCACATGTTTTGCTCCCCACCTATGCGACTTAGTACTAAATGAACACAAAAATATCATTCTCTTCTCTCAAAAAAATTCCCAATATTGTGCACACATATTAATTAGGCACCATTATCGTAAAATTCAAAAATATATACATGAGCGGGAGAAAATACACAAAGTGAGAAAATAACTAAGCGAAGTGAATGAGATAGTTTCAAAAGAAGTAATTGATTTCCTACGTCATAAATACCTAGGACCTCTTATTGCTTAACCTATAAGACATGAAGTAATTACATATATATATACGTATATATACGTATATAAATATGAACAGAGAGGGGAATCTAAATCATTTCGGGTTCACGTTTCTCGTGAGCTTGAAAAGCCAAAAAAAGAATAGGAAGAAATTAAAGAGATAAACAAAAAAAAATGCGATCCCGTTAGTCAAAACTACATGCCGTTTTTGCATGGCATTGGGGGCATACTTGCATGCGTCGGACGTTGTCAGAGCGTGACGTGTCGCCCCCTGTTCCTGCGCAAGCCGCTGCCCTGCGCTGCATGGTTTCTTCGTCCGTTCAAAACGAGAAAAAAAACAAAAACAAAAAAAAAAGCGATTTCTTTCCCAAATTTCAACGCCCGGTCGGACATTTATCGAAAAACATTTGGTCCTTTTTAAATCGATTTTAATCGCGATTAATTCGCCAACAAGAGATAACAATACCAAGAATGGATATACTATAAAACATGAGTAATTCATTTTTATATATCATCTTCAATACTTTCATTTTTCATATATAACACTATATAAGTTTAAGAAAGAAATACAACTAGAACCTAGGTAGTAGAAGGAGGAGTATTAGCTAAGATCGCATATTCGGCGGCGATGGCGTCGCAAGCATGTTCCGGCGAGGGCACCGGAGCGGCGTCACAGCCAGAGAGCGCCGGCGTCCTTGAGGAGCGGGACGAGGGTGCCATTGATGTGGCAGGCCATCAGGGCCTCGAGGCCGCCGAGGAACTTGCCGCCCACGAAGACCGCCGGGAGCGCCCGACGGTCGCCTCCGCCGGGGGCGGCGGCGGCGGCGAGCTGGTAGAGGACGGCGTGGATGTCGCGGCCGCTGCCGTCGAGCTCGTCGAGCTCCACCACGGTGGGGCCGGCGCCGAGGCCGAAGAGGAGGCTCTTGGCCACGGTGCACATGCAGCACCCGCTCGTGCTGAAGAGCACCACCGCGCTGCCGGCCGCGAGGCGCCTCACCGCCTCGTAGGAGCTCCCGGGCGAGCTCCGCATGCCGCCGTCGCTCGCCGGGATCCCCGCAGCCGCAGCAGCAGCAGCAGCAGCTTCCTTGGGCATCAGTTGCATCTTCCCCACAGAGATTTAGAGAGAAACAGAGAGAAACAGAGAGGTCTAGGGTTCTTGCGCAGGGGGGACTTTGAAAGGACGGGCGGTTTCGGTATATATGCGAAAGAGGGGGTTGGTCACATTGCATGCTCTGGCGAGATTGATCGAAAGCCAAGAACGAGAAAAAGCAAGCTGAACAGAGAGAGAGAGAGAGAGAGACAGAGAGGGGTTGGTTCGGTTCGTACCCGGCAATGTCTGACCATCGTTGAGCTACCATGCTTTTGCCTTCTCTCTTCTTCTCTCTCTCTCTCTCTGTAAGAAAGAGCATCATGGCTTTTGTCGCGTGAAAGAGAGAGAGAGAGAGAGAGGGAGGAAGTCTTGACTGGAAGTATATTGCGACCACACCGTATTATACTACCGTACAGAATGAGTATGATCATTGAGGCTCTACGCATGTTTTCTTTCCTTTCAGTAAATTAACTGTCGCGTAGGTATTTTCTTTTCTTCTAAATGTGACCCCGAGATCCGCCACAAGACGAGGCCGTCTCTTGTTCTAGCCCTGGTGCTTGGCTAACGAACGGTAGGGACCCTGACGTCCAAACCAAGATTTCGGTAGCCCTAATCCCCTATCCGACACCAAATTCGGGATTCCCGACGAACGGCCCTGGACCTGGCCCGACCCTCGACCCCGAGCCCCGACCCGCAACCTTGGCACCGAGACGTAGGTTCCCGATGCTAGGACTCGGGTCCCCGATGGCCTGAACCCGAGACCCCAGCACTCGAACCTGGATCCCCAAGGCTATACCCTACTCTCTCTCTCTCTCTCAAAAGTGCTCTTCATTTTTTCCCCCCGAAAAAAAATATAAAAAAATATCTCTTATCCTAATATTTTAGTTAATTTCTGTTAATTACGGGTATTCTCAATAAATCAATTACAAGCACAGAAAAATTTAAAAAGTATCACTAAAGAAGAATATACAATGAAAATAGAACATAACATGTCACACAAAATCTTCGACCTGACATTTATCAAATAAAAGCTGGAGATACTCCACCCATTCGAAACGTCGTTTTTCATCAGGAGGATGCTTTATTGACTATGCATTGATAGGACCCAGATAGCGTTCTAAAGAGGAAATTGGGAAGAAAATTTTTACAATATAAAATTTGAAAAGACGGTTCAGGAGTTGCTGAAAATAAATAAATAATTAAAAAATATCTAGAAATAAGTAAGTGTGAAACTTATAATAATTTAAGAAACCATGGAACATACATTACTTCTTTGATAAGGAGGAGTGTAAAAGGGAAGAATAAAGTACTTTGGTTTTACTCGACCAACAATCAAGATGAATATATTAATAATTTCGATTTTTAGCTAAACAAGGAGAAAAAACACTGTCAAAAGTTTATTATTAGTCATTGAGAATCCTTAAATCGGAGAAGGACAGGAAAAGTATCAAAAAAGTCCTAAACCTTTTATATTAGTGCAAATTTAGTCTTAAACCTTTTTTTGATACCAATTCAGTCCTAAACCTTTTGCATTTGTGCCAATTCAGTACTTTCGGTTAATTTTGGCTAAATTTTGCTGATGTGGACGCCGGACAACCAGCAGCCGGACACCGGCGCTAGCATAGACAACTTTTAATAATGTTTTAATGTTTTTTTGAATTTTTTTCCCTCCCCTCCCTCCTTCCTCTAGCCGGTCGCCAGACCGGCGTCCGGCCAGAGGCTAAAGACCTCGCCGGCCACTGACGAGGCTCGCCTTCGCCATTGACGGCGAAGGCAAGCCTCACCATGGCTGGGCAAAGCTGGGCCTCGCCAGACCGGGCGAGGTCGTGCCTCGCCCAACCGCTAGCGAGGTCAGGCCTCACCCAGCTGCCGGCGAGGCTCGAGCCCTCGCCAGAGGCCTTCAACCTCGCGGCCTCTGGCGAGGGCTCGAGCCTCACCGGCGGCTGGGCGAGGCCCAACCTCGCCAGATTTGGCGAGGTCCAGCCTTGCCTGCCAGCGCAAGGTCGCCATCCGACGAGGGCAAGCCTCACCGACCTCTAGCCTCTAGCCGGTCGTCGGACCGGCAACTGGCTAGAGGAAGGAGGGAGGGGAGGAAAAAAAATTAAAATTAAAATATTATTAAAAGTTATCCACGTCAGCACCGATTCCGGTCAGTGTCCATGTCAGCAAAATCCAGCCAAAATTAGTTGGAATGACCGAATTGGCCAAAAAATAAAAGATTCAGGACTGAATTGACACCAATATAAAAGATTTAGAACTGAATTGGCATCAAAAAAAGGTTTAGGACTGAATTGGCATAAAAAAAAAAGGTTTAAGACTAAATTGGCACAAATGCATAAGATTTAGGACTTTTTTGACACTTTTCCCGAAATTGCCCAATTAATCATAAAAATATCGTACGAATATCAATCCAGTCATATATAGTTCAATTTTGTCAATTTTGTCCCAAACATTTGTGCGAAGTTCCAATGCAATCCATCCAGCCACTTTTTACTAAAAATCGCTGACGTAATGGTATGCCATGTAGGACGGTCAACGATGACTAGACCTTAAATTAGTTATGATACGAACTTTAGGGTCTATATACATGATGCTCGACTCGAATATGTCATGTTTGGATCTTTTGGCTTCATTAATTGTTACGGTTAATCTTGGCTCAATAGAAGTTACTTTGGTTGCTATCTGGACATTGTCGATATATTTTTCATTAATTATATTTATCAAGGATCATCGCCGATTTTTCGTTTAAAATAAATTTCATTTTCAATTTAAAAGATTGAATTGAATTGGGATGATTTTATGGCCAATTTAGTGCACTTGGTTCGCGGAAAATTAATGATTTGGATAAAAATTTTCTAAAAATAATTGCTTGTATCGTTGACAAAAATAATTAAACGAAAAATATTTTTATCGTTCACAAAAAATATTTAGAAATAAATTATTGCCGATAATGACAATATTTTCATTGACTTAATATTTTAAGCAATATAAGCCATTATTTTCAAGAACGTGATTTTCAAATCATTCATTTTCCACAAAATAAATAGAGCCAAATTGCAAACTATTTGTTATTTATTAGAGATGCTAGAGTGCTAAAATAGCTTGTTGAGATGAATATTTATTTATGACGTGTTGTGCAAACTTAATTGTTATTGGTAGCATTCATAAGAGCAACATAGGCCACACCAAAAGAGTATTGCATACAAAAATTTTGTATAACCTTATTATATAAATGATGTGATGGATAGAGCCAATGACGATATAGAATTCATATCATTGCAGATGCAGAATAAGCTCGATCACGTGCCTGCTAAAAGTTTCATAACCAAAATTTGAATCATGCAATATTTGTGTCGGTTGATCCAATTAAATTGCTTAGTAAACTTGAATGGACCATCTTCGAAATGGAAGTCATGAACCTGGAGGATCTATTTAGAGAATGCAAAATTGTAGGAATATATATACATAAAGTTTAACCTAACTTATCTAATTATTCAAGAGCTTTATTCCAACAACATTTTTTAAGAGTGGAAAGCAATAAAGAGAAGTGAAAGTTATAGTCATCTTAATGAATGGATGCAAATTAAAAAAAACTTATACTTGTTTAATTAAACTCTCTAAAGTTACAAACCTGTTGTGCGGATGCTAATTAAATTCTAAACTTTTTAGTTTGACTAATTTAGTCCTAAACCTTTTGAAGATTTGCCAATTTAACTGAGTTAATGGTTCGATCAATTTTTTTCTATTAATATGTGCATGAAAGATTATCGACATAATAAATCGATACAAAATAAGCAATAAAAAAGAACTAGCGTAGTCAGCTGGCACTTTCAAGATATTTCCAACTTACCAATTCGAAGGTCACATGTTTAAATCCCATCAATTATGTGTAAACTACTTTGGGTTAGGACTGTCTGTACATTCCAATAAAAAGATAACGTCGATAATCATTTATTAAACTAAAACGATAAAAACTGATGAAATATGCTTTAATCATTTGTTGAATTGGAACAACAAAGATTTTAATGACAATGATCGTATTTTTTGGAAGAGTGCTCTTTTATAAGGACAACTGAGACAATAATATTTCACTTGAAAAAACATATTATCGTGGACTCACTTTAGCAAATTGTATATAATCCATACGAAAATTAATTGTCCTATTTAATAGCTAATCCAAAAAATTACTTAAACTAACTTCCATCGATTCCATATAAAAAGGACAGAATATAATAAACAAAGAAAGAGTAATAATAATAATAATAATAAGATATTGGGGGTTGGGCCGCTCCTAAGTGGACCTATAGAAAGCCACACGACGTAACCCGTCGCCATCATAACTGAATTTATTTGCTGCTTATGACTCAATCCGATCATTTCGTAGTCAATGTAGCACGTTGTGGTTAAGCCAAAAGAGGACACTGGTGCTAGTCGCCCTTACCCGCTCTGATATATATATATATATGGAAAATAGATAGATCGGACAAAACGTGACATAATATTGCTTACTCTCGCTGGCGACCCCCTGTACTTTTATTTGTAGCTCTACTTATTTTTCGGCAAAAGGACACTACAAGTGCCATAAGTTGTGTACGGAAGACACTTTGATGCCATAACTTTTTTTCGGAACACTTTAGTGCCAAGTCGGAGGAAAAGAGATCACTTAAGTGCCAATTTGACCGGAAATCCGACGTGGCATTTTTTATTAATTTTTTACGCCGACGTGGCTCGCCGGAGGATGAGTCAGCGTATACAGTCGGCATTTTTTATTTTAAATAATTTTTTTCAGCGTGTACAATCAGCATTTTTTATTTAAATAATTTCTGTCGCCGACGAGGCGACCCTCGTCGGCGACAGGCGAGGCCGCCGCTCGCCCGGATCGGCGAGGCCGCCCTCGCCGGCCATGGGCGAGGCCGCCCCTCACCCATGGCCGGCAAGGGGCGGCCTCGCCTGACGCCGGCGAGGGTCGCCTCGTCCAAATCTGGCGAGGCCGCCCCTCGCCAGATTTGGCGAGGGGCGGCCTCGCCTGTCGACGGCGAGGGTCGCCTCGCCCAGATCCGGCAAGGCCGCCCTCGCCTAGCCCTTCCCCGGCTTCGCCGGTGGCTGGTCGGTGGCCACCGGCAACCGGCCGGCGAGGGAAGA